ATCTACCATCTTCACATCTGTGAACTTGCTGGAAAAAACATCAGCCAGAGATGCACAGTTTTTGGTCAGAACTGGACATTCAATCTCCAGCAGCTCTGTCGAATTAACGACACCATCGGGGCTTGCAGAAAGCCATGGTTCTGTGACACTCACTACGGTGCCCCTCTTTTCTACCACAAACCCACAGCTTTCCAGCCATGCATAGGCCACCTTCTCATTCTCCTGGCCATACCTGGTTGCAGTGTTCCCATGGAACCTAGGAAACAGGTGTTCTCTAAGAAAATTTTCTGGCCTAGTAGAGGCACGTACAGGGACCTTTTTCGCAGAGCTACCAGTTACTCTTAATTTACGTGCATCAAACCATAAGTGGGATGCACTCTGCATTTTAGTCAACTCCTCCAAAACAGCACATTTATCCCCATCTAATTTAATGTACCTGTCATAAAATGCCATGCATTTCTGGCAACGTTTGTCAGTACCATGTTCATCATGAGGCTGCTGGAGCTGTGTGTGTGCTGCTACAACTTGGTCTGGGACAGCAGAAATGCATTTGTGCAGAAGGCTGCCCAGTGGAATACTGGCAGCCTCTAAACTCACCTTCAAGGCTTCATGAGAGGTGTAGGCAGGGGTTGGCGGTAGAGAAGGTGATATGGGGTGGATGTTCTCTGAGAAATCAGAACTTTCTCTGTGATGCTGAAAACTTATATTGTTCAACCTTTTAGGGACTAAATTGCGCTGTGTGCCTGAATTCCAGTGCCGCTGCTCATCTGTGCAGGACCATCCAGTGAGACCTTTCGACACAGCATACTGCACCTTTAAAACAAAGTTTAAAAACTACCATGAGTTATTTTTAATATATTATGATAATATTTGTATATCAAAAATATATGCAGTTAATAGTGAAAAAGGCACACAATCTGTTGATTTAAAATAAAAATATTATTCATAAAGACTAGTGAATTTTATTTCACAATTTTATTTTGCAAGGTCTCCCTTGTAAAAGAGATTTTTAATCTCAATGGGTATTACCTGGTTAAATAAAGGATAAATAAAAAATAAAAATAAAAAAATAAAATGCCTTCAAAGCCTACCTTCCATAAAATCGCTGCAGCATGACTGCAGGATTTCCCCAAACCCGCAACACAGGTGCACCCGGCCGTCTCAACAGTGCCGGTTGATGTGGTCAGGATCCATGCCGAATGAGCGTCGGATTTGCTTTGGCTTGGGTTGACATCAGCTTTCAGGAATATCAGATCGTTGATGTTGTTACTGATTAACACCTTGCCAACTTTTCCGCTGTGGAGGTACTGATACGCCTCTGTACTCTTGTAGTTGCGCATCGTAGATCCATCCGCACCGAGTGACAATACTACATAGTTAAAAATGTCCTCATATGTAATATGAGGCCACTTTTTCATATCATCCTCCCACTCAAGAATAGTTTGAGGGTGTGGCACTGACCTGCCACTCTGATCGCTTAACAAATTAGGAAAATGTTGCCACAACATTGATTATTAAATCTGTTAAGCTAGCGATACTTTGCATAGGAAAGCGCTGAAACGGAAGTGCGGCACACACAAACGGAAGTTGGACCCAGAGTTACTTCCGCGTTTCAAAATAAGGTGGATATATGTGATCATTCTCCTTTACTTTCTGTTCCCTATATTTCCTCATACTTTCTGATATATTATCATTACTATGAAATACTTTGGAAATGTATCTACTAACATATCTGCTTTATCACTATCTTTAATC